TCAACTCCCAGAATTCCCCAGCCAGCATGGGAGTTGAAGTCCACTCATCTTAAAGTGGCCAAGTTTGGACAACACTGCCTTAATCAAATAACAAAAGATCTCTTCCTGGAAGAGATCTGTGTTCCAATCAGATAGGGCTAGACAGGCAAATACCTCAGCTCAACAGGCTGCCTCATTGTAGGAAACCACAGCTCAATGGGATGCCTGACCTCAGAGCGCTCCCTCTGGAACTCCAACTGAGTGCACTTTCTAAGAATTCCTAGAGGGTGGGTGTTCTTTCATGCCTTTCAAGGAACAATAGTAGGATCTTCTCTGTATAAAGGGCTTTTGGGGAATTCCTGCTCGTGGTCACCTCCAAGACCGACTCTGCATGCTGTGCTCTCAGAAATAAACTTCATCTCTGTTTCGAGCAACTGCCTGTGCATATTATTCCCGGTTTGGAAGCGAACTTGGTAAGATTTCTTTCCAACAGTATCATACATAAATGTATGTAGGATTCTTGCATCTCAGTAGATCTGATGACAAGTCCAGTGTGCAATAACAAGTAAAGATGGAGCTTCAAGTGGAGCTCCTGATGCAGTTTCTCTCTTTATTTTCACTTAAAGGCCACTATGAAGTATATAGAATTATAACTGTTCAAAGAATATTTAAGGTATGGAATAATATTAATAACATAATTACAGGGATTACTAACATAGAATTGTAAACCCTGACGACACTAAGATATAACTATAAGAATTGTCCTTATTATTGATATTAAATAAGAACTGAGAACAGCTAATATATAGATTCTATAATGACCCCCGAGGTAAAAAGAAATCTAATAAACTAAGAACACTCTGTTGGCACTAGTTCACTTCCTAACCCCCATGCCTGGGGCACATCCAAGGTCTTTTAGGCTTTTTGAAAGACTGCAGGATCTGGGCCAATCTCATCTCGAGGGGTAGGGAGGTCTCAGACTAGGAAGACTAAAATATGGCAATAGAGTAGGAAGAATAAAACAGAGTAGCATGAAATAAAGCCAAAACAGGCTAAAAATAGTCTGGTCAAAAAGCTCGGCTTTATTGTAACATAAGGAATTCGCTGGCACCATTAGCAAGCTACATGAAATTACCAGAATTAGAGTTTACATACAAAACAACAGATTAATATCAATGTTACAGAGGTTACTCATACAAAACTCTGATAATTTAACACTAAGAACCAACTATAAGAGTGGTAGTTGCTACTATTATTAGGACTATATTAGTATGGCTTTTTTCTAATTGCTTTAAGCCCAAAGACATATTTTGCCACCTTATAGGTAGGCTCTGGGTTTTAATCTCATAAAAGGAAGTTGATGTAAAAGAAATGTGGTCTACCTGGGTATTTGCTTAGAAGAGGTGTTCTAAGTCTGAAGCGACATTTTATCATGGTGAACTTGTAAAAAACCCAGAAAATTTTGGGTTCAAATACACACAGTGATATAAAAATTTTTAAAGATTAATATTCCATTGAAACCAGAACTTTTGTTGGGACTACTAGATAGACAATTAGAAAAGAGTTATGGAAGGTTGCTTTTACATATGATAACTGCTGCAAGATTATTATATGCACAAAAATGGAAAGACTCTGAAATACAGTGGTACCTCGGGTCACGAACGCTTCTGTTCACGAACAATTCGGTTCGCGACCAGCACCGTTCGAAAATTTTTGTTTCCGTTTGCGAACTCCGTATCGGGTG